GGGCTGGGGATCAGAACTTTGCTGGTGGATCCTGACCCCATCCCGTGGCCTGCCAGGGACCATGGGCCACCGGCTGCCTGCTGCCTTCCCTGTGGTATTTTCCACGAATTTGACTGAGTTGCTTCCCACCAGCGTCCTTCCCTTCATTCTGGAACCTGTTCTTTGCAGTGGCAGGACTGAGAACTAATGTCTGTAGGGAGCCACTATGTGCCAACCCAGTGCAGGTCCGGACCTGCTGCCTTCCTGCCCCACAACAGCCCTGCAGGGCGAAGGCAGAGCCCCCTCTTCCGGAGGAGAAAACCGAGAAAGGGAGCAAAAGTGACTTTTCCTAGGTCACCCAAAGGGTCAAAGGTGTTACTGAGATTAGGTCAGGTCTGTGTGACCCGAAGTCCCGAAGTCATGGCTCTGGAGCTCACTCGTTAGCTCTGCTACTGCCCGGCTGTGCCCCTCAGACACTGCTGGTGAGGGCCATGGGTGAGGGGGACGGGGAAGGGGGCGACAGACAGCTCAGGGCGCCGCATGAATCAGCAACGAGGACCCTCCGGGTAACTTTCCCATTGAAAATCTGTTTCCCTCGCGGCCACGGGTGATGTATGGCTAGAGCTGATGAGAAACGTGCAGCGGGAAGGAGACAGGCAGCGCGGGCGGCGCGGCAGCCTGGCGGGGGCAGCGCGGCATTGAGATTCCACGGGACGCCGGGGGCGGCGCAAGCCCTGACACGGGCCGGGTAATTGATCTGGAGGTGCCAATTTGCAGCAACTAAATATTTGGTTTCTGCCTCTGCCGGCTCCGCACTGTGCTCAAACAAACTTCAATTAAAAGTGAAAAGGGAGGGACACGGGGCGGGGGGGTTTCGGCGGGCAGGGTTCCCTGCGGCCGGATCGATGGCGTGGAGCCTGCGGGCTGCGGAGCGCTGCGGCGGCGGCGCGCCGGGCCGGGAGGGGGCGGGACCGCGGACGGGTGCGGGGGCGGCGCGGGGACGGCGTGTGGCTGGCGCCCTGCTCTAGGCACCTGGCCCGCCAGAGGCAGCGCCTCGAGCCTGGAGCAGTGGCTTAACCTCAGCTGGCAGAGCAGAGGTGCCCACTGTGCCAGGAGAGAACACAATACGGCTAGCCCGACCACCCCGCTCCGGACGTCCAACCCTGTGCACCTGGGCGGGAAGGAACCCCAGGGCGCTGAACCCCCTCTTCCAACGCACCCACCCCCGGAACGTTGGTGATGGCCTTGCTGTTCAACAGCATCACTGAGTGTCCTGCCCGAGCGCTGCAGGGCGCCAGGGGCACCGGGTGCCGAGGTCCATCCCCTCTTCCTTGTCTGCCTTCAAGTAGACAGGAAGATTTCAGGAGGAAATGAGTGAGTCTACACTGGGGTTGGCGAAAGGTGAATCCGACCCAGGCTCCACCCCTGGAGGGGTCTGAAGGAGACAGTTTGGAATCCGGGGAGCAGGTAGTGAGATCCTGGGGCTTGGGGAGAGGCCTAGAGAGCTGGCTGCGGCCCGGAGCAGGGGGAGGCATCGTTGGGTCACAGTTGCCTCTTTTGGGGGTTCAGGACAAACACAGCAACAAGACTTACTGAGTGAAGTTAGTCCATAGGGAAATTTCTGTCCCTCGAGGATACTGCAGCACTTTGAGGGAGAGACCCCAGCACTGGGGAGGGGAGCTGAACATTGGTTCTGGGAAGCTGGGGCTTCTCAGGGTCTGCTGGGGGGTCAGCCTGGGGGTGGTTAAGACAGTTCTGAGAAAGAGATGATGTGGGTGGGGGTGGGGCACCCAGGTCCAGACAGATGGAAAGTGGAGGGGATTTGAAGTACTTTCACCTGGGTGAAGGTTTCTCCAGGGTTAGAGGTGGGACGAAGGCTGAGAGGCTGGGAAGGCGAGTCAGGAGGCCACTGTCCGGGCCCACGCTCCTGTGCCCGCGACCTGGAGTGAAAGGGTGGCTGCCCCCTGAGCCCCTTTCTTTCCCTTTCCCCTTCACCCCCTCCGCCCCCCCCCAGGACCCTCTTGGTCCCTGACTGGGTGTGGACGCACAGGTCACCCCGCGAGGGCCCCAGCTTCTAGGTAACCAGGTGGCCCTGCAGGCTTCCCTGGATCAGAGGTGCCATCTCCATCCCCAAACACAGGGCTCTGGGGGAAATTGGCTCACCACTCCCCTCTGTCCCCTTCTACCTCAGGCAGTTGTCTCGTAATGCCCCCCACCTTCCTCATCAGCCCTCAGCCCCCACTTCTCCCGCCCCGCCCCGTTGCTTGGGGCACCAGTCTGTCATCACGGGGAAGCCGAATCCGGAAGCCTCCCCGTCCCCGCTCCTCTCCCTCCCAGCTCCTCCCAGGGGCTGCCGCATTCCCTGCCTCGAGCCCCTTCCCAGCCCGCAAGCTGGGCGCCTCCTCCCTCACATTCCCTTCCTCCTTCCCGCCGCTCCCTGGGCGCTGAGCTGTGGAGCAGAATGATTTCCTGTAATTGGCCAGCAATCTGGCTGCCCGACTTGTTCTATCGACATGCTGGTTAGCTGGAAATTGTATTGGAATCTGAGCGACAGGGCGGGAGGGGAGGGTGGGGAGCACAGAGAAGAGGCTCTTTGGCCTCGGTTGGGTGCAGCTTCAGCTCTGCGGGGTGGGACAGGAGCCATAGCCACAGCACCCCTTTCTGGGAAGGGGTGGGAATGCAACCCACCTCCTTCACTTTGCTCCATCTCTCTCACCATCTGGGGGGGTCTGCCCTGTCCACCCCTCTGAGCCCCTCTGCAGGTCATCATGACCACCCCACTCCCACTCCTGCTCCTAGGACTGGTTCCTCCTGTCCTAACGTGTCTCAGCCAGAAGTAGGGGTGCCGGGCAGGCATGGCCATCCCTCGCATCTGACTTCTAGCCATGGAGGCTCATCGTGGAGTGTCCCTAACTTTCCTCTGCTCTCCTCAAGCAAAGAGAAGCTAAACACCAGAAGAGAGGGCAGCACTCCTAGGTAAAGAGCCAGGTGTGATTAACGGCAGCAGGGCAGGGAGCGGGAGCATTGTATTGCGAGTCCCCTAGGCCTGCCCCCCATGCCTGTTGGTCTTCCGACCCCACGGATCAGCCGCGGAGCCTCTGTGAAGTTCTAGCTTGGCCTCCTTCACAGAATTGGGAGATTTCAAGAGAATAACCACGTGAACATGCTTTGCAAACTGTAAAGCTCCGCGCATTATCCTAGGGCCAGTCTGGCCGGAGTGAGGGGGACGGGTGGTGTGCGGTTGTTTTAGGGCCCACCTGTCCCCTTTATACCCCGCCAAAAGGCCAGTGCTACTGCCACCCTCACTGGTGTCTTCATTGCTTCTTGTCCGTGCCCGCGTGGTAAGGCCCAAGTGGGGAACAGAGCGCGGTGTCCAAGCACGAGGCTGGAGGGTGGGAGCCCCGGGTCTCTTGCCCTGGCGGGGGCCGGGGAAGCTGGTGGGGCGGGGTCGGGGGGTGAGAACACAACTCTCTGCCCCGCAGTGCCAGGCGAGCAACGCAGCTTCTTAATAAGCGCCTGGGGCCAGGCAGTGCTCCCCCGCCACCCCCGCCCGTCGGCGCTCCCACCGCCGCCGCTCAGTGGGCGATCTGAAGAAGGATGGCGGGAACACTACAGGGACAAAGTAACCGCTTCACCAGCTCCCGCCGCGGAGGTCGGACCCCAACCCCGGGCGGGTGCTGCCACCTGCCGGCCAGAAGGGATGACGCCCCCGGGGCGCGGGGCTGGGGCTCCCACTGCAGCCTGGCCCGGCTGCTCCCGGGGCTTCGGAGCCCCGTGAATGGCCTAACCATGGCGTCACCACCTTCCCCAAGTCCCCCTCCCGCGGGAAGTGGGCCTTCTTCTAAGGCCGCCTTGGGCCACCGAGCCTGGAAAGGGAGGCGGTGAGGAAGGAGGCGTGAGGAGGGAGAATGGGCGCTCCAGTGGCACTAGGGCACCGGGCGGACTCGCCGCGCCGTCCAGTTGGCCATCCTCCGAGATTCTGGCACCAGGCTCAGCAGCCTGGGTCAGGAAAGATTCTTTGGAACTTTACAGTCTGCAAAGGGTTTTCACCATCCTCCACTGGGTCCTGTGACGGGAGCATCGTGATGCCTACCTGACAGGAGAAGCAGGGGGCCAGGAGGCCACACAAGCAGCAAAAGAGCCGGGTCCCAAGCCCAGCTCTGCCTCGCTCCGGGGAGGCTCAGGGCTACAGCGCGCAGAATCCTGAAGCCTGGCCCTGACCCGAATCGGATCCCTCCACCTCCCTGGGCCTGGGATCGGAATAATCAATGTCATGTCACCGCTAGGGCAGCGATTTTCAACCTTTTTCATCTCATGGCACACATAATCTAATTACTAAAATTCCGTGGCACACCAAAAAAAAAATGTTTTTCTGCCGATCTGACAAAAAAAAAGTTTTAATTTTTATGATTCATTCAAACTGGACAACTACTGTTGTGTTGGCTGTTGTCATTTTTTTATTTGACAAGTAAGGGAAAAGAGGTCAGTGCCCCTGACTAAAACAGTCAGGTACTGCACGTTTTAAAAACCCTTGCAGCACCGGCCGAAAATTGCTGCTCTAGGGTGTTACACATGTAGCAAGGTGTCCAACACACCGCAGGACCCATGAAGCCATTTTCTCAAGGAATCGGGTAATAGGGGACCCTGGCACCTCCATGGGGGGGTCCACACCTTTCCTCCCCTTACCCTTCCTGCCAGGTCCTTCTGAATCTGGGAAGCAGCTGCCTTCTGCCACTCACCCTGCCCTTGCGCCTGGGGGTTCGCAGTGAGCTAATGAGCTGGTCTCTGAGGTATGAGCAGCCCTGGGAAAGGCGGCACTGAATATGGCCACCACAGCATTCACATTTGTCACACTCATTTCTGGCCTTAATAGGCTGCTGGCCACAGGATCACCACATAAGCAGATCTGCCAGCTCGGGCTGATGTCCACACTGGTCTAATTGGGTGAGGGAAGGAAGATGGAGTAAGCGAGTGTGACGCTGCCCCAGCACCTCCACCTGCCTCACAAGGGAATGCCTGGACCTGGCTGGGGTCCTCCTGGGTCCCCGGAGTCAGAGGGCTGCTGCAATGTCTGGGGTGCAGCCGTCAGTGCGGCGGAGGCCAAGTATAACCCAAACAGGTAGCAGCCCAGTCTGAGGGCTTGAATTCGCCCACAGTGCGCTGGGGAAAGCACGGCAGTGCAGGGCACTTCCGATCAACACACTTTATTAAGCACCAACAGCGATGCAGGCTCTGCACCAGGAACAGAGATAAATAAGACAGTCCCTGCCCTCCAAGGGCTTCCAGTCTAGCAGGAGAGAACATCCAGCTTTTGGTCGATTATTATGCTGTGGATTCAGACAAACATGGGGATGGTCATGTCCTAGAGCACCTAGCCCAGCCTGAGGCTTCAGAGAACCTGAGCTGGGAGTCAGTTATGGGGTGGGGGTGGGTGTGGGTGGGGGTTCCAGATCAGGGAGGAGCATGGTGAAGGCACGGAGGTCAGGAAGTCTGGCGCACGTGGACTACCGAGAGTTCGGGGCTAGAAGTCCGTGGAGTGGGAGGTGGTGGGCAGCTGGGGGGAGCGCTGGACAGATGCCGAGGTGGGGCAGTGGGTCATCCTGGAAGAGGCCTGGCCTCTTCCAACTACTGTATTACCCCCGGGGGATCCTCACTGCACCCCCGCCGAGGGCTGAGTCATCCTAGGGGAGAGTCATGTTTGAAGGCAGTAGCCCTTGGTCCAAAATGATTGGCAATGGTCCACGAAGGATGTTTTGGCCACAATGGGGCACGTGCTCAGAGCCCAGGGACTCTCCCAGCTTTAAACACTGACGAGGGCCATTGTCCCTCACCCCCACCGTGCACAAGTCTCCCACGGTTGCTTTCATGTCTCATGCGGACACTGTTCTGCGGGTGGTTCCAGGAGGGTCCAGGAGAAGAGGGGGAGGGACATCTATTGACAGGGCTGTTTCTTTGCCTCAGAGAGAATGTACCCCAGAGAAGGGTCAGTCCAGTACAGGGCTCCAGCCGAGGGGGGGCGGGGGAGGGGAGAGAGAGAGAAAGAAAGAGAAAGAGTGTGTTGAGGGGGGCTGAGAGGAACCAGGATGCATTCGTAACCTAGCTCCAGCCTCTGAGGAGACCGAGGCCTGGGGCTTCCTGCCTTGCAGTGCCCAGCTAGGGGGAAGGCAGGAGGTAGCGGGTCAGCAAGTAGAGGAGGCTGGCAATGCCGGCCAGACCTGTGAGGACGCCGAGCCTCAGCGGCAGGTACTCCAGAGAGCGCTCCAGCTCGGCGTGCAAAAGGATGACCTGGCGTTTGGTGATACTCCACTCGCCCGAGTTGTCCAGAACGTGGCGGGCCATGCGGGCTTTGTCCTTCAGCGGTAGCTGGGCATTGATCCGAGCCTCTGCGTCCTCGCGGTTCAGGTTGTTCCGCCGCATCAGCCGTGCCAGCTGTGTGTCCCGGTCGCTAAGGATGGGGAAAAAGGGCTGATCAGGCTTTGTAGGCCCTACCCTCTGCCCCCGCAAGTGACAGGGGTGGGCAGCCTCCTCTCAAATCAATTTAGGGTCCCACAGCCAGGGAAGGAAGCCTGGAAGCTCTCACAGGGTCCTGCCACCTCACCTTACTCTGTGCGGACCCTGGTAGCACAATGGGCTTAATATAAACAAGGGGAAGGGCTGTGAAAGCTGCGTTCTGCCACCTGGGAACTCTCTGCTTTGCCATGGAGCTGAGACTTCCCAGTCATACGGTGGGAGGGTTCGATCACCTGGAATCAGCTACACCCTGGACCCCTGGGCGGGTGGCCTCTACCAGAGGCCTGTGCCTGCAGGCTGAGCGTTTCAGTGCTTCCCCTGGAGGCCCGGGCCTATGGGTCAAACACAGATTCCTGGGCCGCCACAAAGACCCTCTCCTTGCCCTCCCACTCTCCCTCCCTCATTTTTAGAGCAAAAGCATGATGCTGAAACAAGTGGCCGCTGTATTTGATGCCACCAACAAAGAGGGACAGGCAAGCCCCACGATGCTTATAGTGGAGCCAGGGCCTGAGAACCGGATACCCTGGTCCTTGGGACAGGATAAAGCCCTCACTGCACTTTAAGACAAACAACCCCCCAGTCTCCCAATCCCAAAGGAAACTCAAAGGATACCTCTTTGGCCCACTCAAATGTTGCCACCTGGGTCCTTCCTCTGGAAACTCCCTGTCTTGTCTTCGGCCATAGAGGAAATGCCCGCTGTGCTCGGGAACAGGGTCTTCTCAAACTTCTCAAACTTCCCTCTAGCTCTGTGGCTGCCTAAGCCTCTCAGCAGGAACAAGGGGAAAGGGTGGCAGCAGTGGCTTTCTGCCATCGGGGCCTCTGCTTTGCCACTAGGCCTGAGATGTCCCAGTTATGAGAAGGGATGACAGATCACCACCAGTTTGGTCTTCCTAGGCGTGGTCTATGCCAAGGGCCTCCTGGGATGTAAAGGCAGACCCTCTAAGGGCAGACATAACCGGAACATTAGCTAGTTCAGTTTCAGTTCCATTCAGAACAAAATGCTTCAGAAAAGCATTTCTCGCTGGCTGATCAGGGAGACCTTTCAGGAGAGATGGCATTGGTAATGGCCTTGAAAAGTCAGTATGACTTCTGATTTCCTTTGTTATGAGGACAGTGTACTGTCAAGGTCATGGGCCTACCCCTGCCTGCTTGAGAACTGTATCTCCAACCTTAGGAACCAATCTCAAGTCTGGGGCTGGAAAAATCGGGGGTGAGAGAACGGAGATGGCGTAGGGCCACCTGAGCACGCGCGCTTCAGAAGGTGTGGCCTCGACCAGAGGGCCTCCCAGGCGGGGCAGACAAGCGCCCCGCTAGGCCTTCCCGGGGCTCAGAAATAGTCCCATGTGGCTAGTTTAAGGTTCGATGCTATTTATGGTAATGAGATTTTTATTACTTATTCCACAACTGGCACATTCCTTGAAAATGTGAATTACCATGTTTTGGTATAATCATGCTTAAGTAAATGCCCCATATTATTTCAAATGCATCAGGGGTAGTGTGATAGTTAAAGAAGCCCATGAGGGGAACCTCATTTTTGCAAAGTGTAGGTCCCTTTTATGAAAAGCAAATAATGCCTATCTCTGGCGTCTCTCTCAAGGCACACACCCACAGGTGCCAGAAGCGGGGCAAAAACAGCAACCAGGACCTTGGCAAAGGTTCTCAGGCTGGTGGTGGGCTGAGGATCCCTTGGAGAACGGACAGTGTCTACACAGCCACAGCTATCAGCCGGGAGCCACAGCAGCCACAGCTATCTCTGCTCTTAGCCAACAGACCAACCTCGAAGGACAGTGCGGGAGGGAGGTGGCAGGGGAAGGCACGGGGTCACCTGGTGACTACAGGTGCTATGTTTCCTTCTGTGTTCTCCCCTACACTCAAGATCCATTCCCCCCCATCCCTTGATACAAAGTTTCAATTGCATTAAGACCCTTAAGACTCCAAGGCAGAGAGAATTCCAAGTCTTCATGGAGTTTGTTTGGCCTCAGTTAATAGTCTCTCAAAAACAGGGAACAAAGAACCCAGGGAGGCTGCAGGTTTCCATGGGGAGACATGGGTCCAAGTGGGAGCTATAAGAAAGCTTGAGTCTCTATGCCAGGCTCAGCAGACTCAGATGGTATTTTTTTTTCCAATCCCCACCTGAGGGTATTTTTTAATTGCTTTTAGAGAGAGAGGAAGAGGGAGAGGGAGAAAAACATGAACCTGGTTGCCTTCAACTACATGCCCTGACCAGGGACCGAATTCACGACCTTTTGGTCTGAGGGATAATGCTCCAACCCACCGAGCCACACCTGCCAGGGCCAGACTGGGTTTTAAATGAGTTTATGGTGGGGAGCGGGTGGGCGGGAAGGGTGACGCTTAGGGAACTGAGCACTCTGGGCCCCATCTCCAGCGTGCTAGAGCACTCCCATGCACGGGTCTCCTGAGAGCCCCCCAGTGCCCAAAACACCCGCAGAGCCCAGCGCCCACCTCTGAGTCTGCTGTACTTGTGGGTGGCATTCAGGAAGCTTCCGGGAAGCAGAGACACTTATCTACTCCCTCACCCCACTGGGACTGTGACTCATTTTCTCTGACAGTTTGATCCTCCTCTGTTTGTCAAACCTGGATTCTAGTTTGCTTCATATCCTCGGGGAGTCTGAGAACAAAGTTCCTTCCTTAGCTGTGCTCTGCCAGCTCCCTCCCTGCAACTTTCCGTCCACAGGTGTTGCCAACGGGAGACCCTGGACAAGTTCTGTTGCCTCTCCCTGTGCCCTGCCCCCAAATTTTCTGTAACTCAGAGAAGTATCAACTAATGACCTGAATACCTCATGCTGAAAGGTAAATTCGGTGAAGTAAGAAGTCTGGATCTGTTTGGAAAGCTGAGGAGGGCCAGAGGAGGGAAAAGGGATCCAGTGAATACAACATGGTAGCCCAAGGCAGCGCCCGGCACCTGGGCTGAAGTGCTTGCAACAGCCAGCAGGGGGAGTCCTTCCCAAATGCTGGAGAAGCCTGGGGGTCATCCCTTTCCACACCTACCTGGGGGCACATCTGGATCAGGCACAGGGGTTGGTTTCTATAGGCTCTGGGTACTGCTGCCCCAGCCCCTTGTGCTTCCTGGATGCCCTGTGGGGAAGGGGCACAGTAACATGGGCTATTTCTCATGTACATGGCTTACTTCAGGCTCCTTTTCAGCCTGTCAGGCCAGACAGTACCACACTCACCAGTATACCACCACCGTGTGCTTCATGTATTTAAGCAGTTTCTTGGTCTCAAACAGCAGGGGGATATCCAGAATCACATAGCGGTATCCTGGAGAAAAGCCGGGAAAGCCACAAGGTCAAGTCTGCAAGTACACAGCGAGGTCTAACTATGGCTTAGGCATGGGAACAGAGGGGAGGCCACTGTCTCCTACCACTGGAAGCTCCCCAACCGAGGGGGAGACCTTCCACGGACAGGCGTAATTCCAGTGTCATTCAGAACAGAATGCTGCAGAAAGTCGTTGTTGACTAGACGAGCAGGTAAGCTCTTGTAGAAGAAATGTCATTTCTACTGGCCTTGCAAGGCAGGTAGGAATTCTGATACCTGAAAATACATGGGTGGAAGCGAGGGTTCCAGGAACGGGGAACAGTGAGGTCCTACCGCTGCAGTTGAAGTGGAGGCCTTGAGCGGTGTGAGGCTGAACTGACGAGATGGCCAGGGGAGGCACAAAGCACTGAGTTCGCCTTGACCTTGGACCCAAAGCATTGTTATTTCTGAGCAGGGAAATGACATAGCCCTAACTGTAGACTGGGAAGAGTCTCTCTGAGTGAGGGCCCTTTCTGCCCTACTTCACTCACCTTTGTTTAAAAAAAAAGTTCTCTCTGAAGAGTCAGGTCCAAGCCTGGTTCCCTGCTGGAGTCCTGCGTAGCTGCCTCTACCAGCTCTCCACTGCGTGGCGGCAGCAGCAGCCCCAACAGGGAAGGGGCTGCTCTTTAAGGAGAGGCAGACCTCCAGCCCGGGACTGCAGGGACAGGCCTGGAGGTGCCGCAGCAGTTGTGACTAACACCGCGCTAACTCCAGTGGGGTGAAAGCGCCAGCGGCCCTCCCACCGCGAGCCAAAGCCAGTCAGGGGCGGCACCCACGCGCACTGTGAGCGGGCACGTCCCTGGGCTGCCCACCCAGGAACTCTGTGGGCTCCACTCCTAGTTCTCTTTATGCCAGTGACCCGTGTGTGGGCCTAATAAGATTGGCAGGGCTCCAGGAGCAGCAAAAAGGAAGGAACGAGCACCACTTCTGCCTAGAGACCCCTGCCTCGCTTGCATGGCGTCCCAATGCAAACACTTCCAACCACAGAGCACACATGGCACCAATTCCAAGAGTGTTACAGTGAAGCTGGCACTCTAGGTGATGCAGGAACAGGGGCGACACCATAGTGGCTGGGTTTCCTGTTCCCCAGGGTCTGCTGCTCAGGGAGCCTTCCGCTGAATGAGGGGCTAGAGCGTGCTCTGCTGACACGCCTGGGTTGTCGCCCCCCACTCACTATGTGACTCGGGCCCCTTAACAAACCCTCTCTGTGCGGATGAATGAAAAGACCACCTACCTCACGGGAACATGGGAAGACTTAACAGAGTGAAGTCATGTAGCCCACGCAGCGCCCCTCACCCAGACCCACAGCGAGTGCTCCGTAAATGACGCTTATGACTGCTGTTCTCTGCGGAGGGCGCCTGCGGTGCTGGCTCCCCCGCGCACCCCCCAGCTCGGAACAGGGGCCAGGGCCTGACTCTCCCTGGGCCGCTTATCTCTCTTCCCTGCTCTGCTCCCACCCCTTCTTCTGCCCTCACTGTCCTTTCTCCTCAGCCCCTCTTGGGAGCCCGTGGCCAGCTCTTTGGTTCACCGGCAAAGGGCTATTCAGCTGTCACATCCCTCTGCTTGATAAGCTCTGCAAACTATCCTGACTGTATTAAGACATCCGTCTGCCTACACAGAGACCTCCCCAACAGCTGGTGATCTTATCTGACGTTTGATTATACCAACTCTGACAGTTGTATTTGTTACAGCCATCAGGGAAAAACTGGGACTGTGGAAGCCACAGCTGTCGTCCCCATTTTTCACCTTATCGAGCTGAAAAGAGCTTTCTGGCTTTTATTTAAGTGGTGGTGGCTGGAGAGAGGGGAGGCTGGGCGGACGACACTGCGGGGGAACTTTGGAGCGGTGACATTATCGGATGCCTAATTTCATAAGGGGAACGCCACCTTCGCCTCAGAGCCCTGCAGATGTACTCGCGCCGGCCTGGGAGTGAAAGCGAAAGGGCAGGAATGAAAGGCAGAGGCTTTGCTCCTGAGTAGGGGCGGGAGGGGTTCCTGGCACAGATGCGAGAGGTAGGACAAAGGAGGAATCTAGAGACTCTCCCTGAAGCGGGGCGGGAAGGGAGAGGGAGGCCCAAGGCAAGCTGCTGACACACAGAGCAAAACTGGTCCTACAGGGAGGATGCCTGGAGCAGGCTCCCACCCCGGCCAGAGCTGGGGGCGTGGGAGGGGGTCAGCATCATGGCTGTCTGTCAAGTCACCTCTTTCCATCTGGAGGAGGGGTCTGGCCAGAGTGGGGTGGGTTCCCCACTCTGTATATGAGACCTTGAGCCTGAGAAAACAAAGGGTTTGGCCATGATCACAGTGCAAAAGCCAGAAGAAAACCTAGAAGCCTCCCTCATACCCTCCAGGAAGGGAGCACTCGGCATCAGGAGCAATAATGGGGAGACAAGCGGCTGCGCCTTCCACAGTGAGACCCAGACTGGAGGCCACATGTGCAAAGGGGCAGAGGCCGTAGGCCAGCCTCTCGCCTCACCCAAGCCTCTGCTCTCTTCCTAACGCTTCTGGTGACTGACCCCATCGTGGGTGGCAAGCATCAGGTCACCCCTGCCCAACACCATCCTGAGGAGCAGGACTTGGACCGTGGCGTATGGCTCAGGAAAGGCTAGCAGTAGCTGCATAAGGTTCTTGCCAATTGACCACAGAGCCCTGCTTTTCAAACGCGCCCCTTCTTTCAGTCCCGGCAAGGCACCTGTTGTCTCTGCACAGGGCGGACCCACCCCTGCTGGCTGAGCCCTCGCCTCCAAGGATTAACCCCTCGAGACCCCCTCCACCACCTGCCCTGGCCATCCTGGGGCCCCCCAGCTCCCTGTCTACAAACTCCCTTTCCCAGGTGGCTCGACCAACACCAAATCTGACTCCAACTGCGCTCTTTTGTGTGGGGTGATGGACAGTCACCAGCGTGCACCCTGAGTCCCCCAAGAGCTCTGCGAGGTTGGCACTATTAGCTCACTATGCATACGAGGGAACAGGCAGAGGGGCTGGCTCATGACAAAGTCAAACAGCTAGAAGCTGTGAGGGCCAGGACTTCAACTTAGGTCTTATGACCCAGTATCCGCCAGCTGTTACTACTCCCATCCCTACTAGAAAAAGCAACTTACTTCCTGGGGATCATGGCTCAAAAGCCTCAAGTGTCTCTTCTCATTAAATTGTCAACCTCCTTAAGAGCTGAGGGATATGTGCTTCTTTCTTCTGGGGCTGGTTTGGGATTCTGCATGGGGGGTGCCAATAAACAGTGTAAACCCTGTAGCCCGGCTATCCAGCGCCCCCCACCCCCCCACCCCCTGGCAACCTTTCTGCAGAGAAGAGCCCTGGCCCTGGAAGGAGAGGGCTTTGCCTGCCCCGGTCTGAGGTCTTGGGTCTTACCCCGAAGGAAGTACTTGAAGGTCTCCTTCATCATTTCCTTGCGGATCTCAGGGTGGGTGATGGTGTTGAGCAGATGTCGCCGCTCAGGCTGGTTAAATATCAGGTCCCCTAGGACCTTTCGATTAATGTCACCATTCTCCAACAAGACCTCAGTGCCAAAGGCCTCCACGATGCGCCGGTGGGCGGGGTATCCCGGCTGCACAACTGTGGCATGAGGAGGAGGCTGGGTCACTCTCTGGAACCTCCTGGCCAACCAGAGGACCCCAAGTGACTAGAAGCAAAATGATGGAGGAACCCAGGGGTGCTTCTTTCAGTTCAAACAAAAATGAAACGAGGGGACGGAAAGCAGTTAAGGAGGAGAGCAAACTGCAGAGTCCCCGTGTTTGTCATGGGGTGAGGGGAAGGAGGGGAGACATCTGACAGGTAGCGGTAAAGAGAAAGCAAGAGGACAAGATGGGGCAGGGAGTGGGATGTCAAAAAGGGATGTCTTCCCCTCCTCAGAGGCCCGGGAAGGCCTTATAGAAAAGGTGAAGGGCCTCATCTTTGTAAGGAAGACCTTATAAAAAGGAGCACAGGGGAGCTGCCATGTGTCGTCCCACAACCTGACCCTCCGACTCACCGTGCCGGGCGATGACGTCGACATCAATCACTGCGCATCCCAGCTGCTGGAACACCTGGATGACCGAGCTCTTGCCTGAGGCAATGCCCCCTGTCAGGCCCACCAGGAACATCTTCCCAGGAAAAAGGCAGTTGTGAGGCTAGAGACTCAGAGGTCGGATAATCACTGGAGTGGGGCAAACTCAGCCGATCAGGACGGGCCACCACAGCCGGAAGGATCTGCCTGTGGGACAAAAGCAGGCCTGGTTAGTGCCGGGAGAGAAAGGCAAGGGAAGGGGACGGGGACAGCCTGGTGGGGCAGTCAAGCCCAGAGCTTGGGGAGCTCTGGGTCCATCCTGAAACAGAAAACTTTTTCAGGAAAGGCCTCCAGTATTCTTTCAAAAACACTCTGTCCTGGTTGGTGTGGTTCAGTGGATTGAGCACCGGCCTGCGAACCGAAAGGTTGCCTGTTTGATTCCCAGTCAGGGCACATGCCTCGGTCCCCACTTGGCGGCAACGAGAGGCAAGTGATCGCTGTTTCTCTCGCACACTGATGTCTCTCTCCCTCTTTCTCCCTCCGTTCCCCTCTCTCTAAAATAAATAATTTTTTTTAAAAACCACTCATAAAGAAGGCAAACTAACAGTCTATAAATTTAGCAAAGTGTGAGGTGGCAGTAACTGACGCAGGCATGCTTCCAATAGGAAGGGGACACCTGTCCCTCTATGGTGAACCCAAGGCACTTCCCAGGTGCCCACAGAAGCACCTCGCCCTCCCCAGCCTCCATGTTCTAGGCTGGGATGGTGAGGCTCAGGGGACGAAACGGACTGCCTGGCCCACCCCAAGACCAGCTCTAGGGCTGTCTGAGTGGCTCGTCTAGAACAAGATGAGCAATCCCTCTCCATCAACCAAGAAGTGGATCAGACGGGAACCTCTACAGCAGGCGGTGGTTCAGCGGCCACTAAGCCTTAGGTTCAGAGGAGAATGGGCGTTGCCAAGAAGGAAGGTGAGGAGAGGGTGGGGGGCCTGGGCGGGGGTGGGGTAACCAAGCACGGTGGGATTTGCAGCTCTCTGCCTGGAGCAGCCACCGCACAGCACAAAGCTTGGGAGCAGGGGCCTCTTCAAACCCAGGTCAGGTCCTCGCGCCCATGCTGCGCAACCCTGGTTGCCGCTTCGAATTGCAGTTTTCTCATCTATAAAATGGGGATGATTGGATCTGCCTCACAGGCTGCTGTGCAGACTGAATGAGAAAATGCTTATCCAGTTTTTGGTGCACTGCCTGATGCAGCAAAGGAAGTGGGGGTGGAGATACGGGGTGGCAGGTGGGGATGGCAGGTTTCAAGAAAAAGACTTTCATGAAGTTATGTCCCCATTCCTGCCATCTCAAGACTACCTAACAACAGACCTTTTTTTTTTTTTTAAAGTCATGTTGCATTACCTGGAGTAAACAGGGTTATTACCATGTCTTGAACTTTGTTCCCAGACCGAAAGAAATTAAATTGAAGGCCAGGTCTTCCTGTCCTTTCTTCAGCATCAAATCACGTCTCCAGGACCTTGAAATCTGTGAGAGGACTTTGTTGTTGTTGTTGTTGTTGTTAAAGAGATTTTCTGTCCTAGTTACACTTCAGCTTATACTGTCCTAATTTGCTTAAGCTTATACTGAAATGATTTTCCTTCCCCGAGGACACACCGAATGGCAGGGGGAGGCAGCTGCTCAGATGTGAGCTGAGAGGACGGGTGGCTTAAAAGCAGTGGAGGGACCAACCTAAAAGTTTAAAAATGCCCCGGCTCATTCTCACCCAGGGAAGCCAGGGGCGGAAAAAGGAAACTATCCACCAGCCTCATCATCCAAATGGAGAGACCTAACTGCGTTATTAAGCCATTTACAAAGCATTTCTTCTCAATCTGAGACTAGAGTCGTCCCCACATGGTCTCCCTCCAGCTTAAAAAAAGAGGAGTTAAGGGTAGAGTTCAGTTGCCCCCCCCCCCCAAAAAGTGTCTACTCCACTGAGGCCTGCCACGGAGAATTTAGCAACGACATTTTTATATATTTATTTAAATTGATTTGAAAGAGGAAGGGGGTGGCGAGATTCGATTTGTTGTTTCACTCATTTGTGCATTCTCTGGTTGATCCCTGTGTGTGTCCTGGCTAGGGATCAAACCTGCAACCCTTGAGTGTCAGGACTAAGTGGCCATGGCCTCCAGCAACTACTCACTCCTGTTATCTCTAAAACAATGAACCTGCTACTCTTCTGTTGAAAACCAATCTGGAACAATGGGAGTGGAACTTGAGAATAGGTTGTAAAGGAGCAAGGAACAAAGGCCAGTACTCCACAGGGTCCCAACCTCTCAACATTAAAAGCCAGCCACTGTCATGGGTCAGTGGGGCTTGGCCACAGTTGGCTGAAAGGGCCTGGAAGGCCATGTGGCTAAGACTACACCCCCTGCCCATGCATGGGACCAGGACACGCTCAAGACCTCCCGAGTCAGCATCCTGGGGATGGGGGTGTCCAGGCGGTTCTGCGGCAGTGGAGCTGAAGGGTCAGAAGGCAGAGGACACTTGCCCAGAGCCACAGCTGTGAGCGGAGCCTGGATGGAATAGGAGGCTCCTGACTCCGAGTCTAGATCCCTGCCCGCCTGTACTCAGGGAATAAAAATTTACCTTTAGGACAAAATAAGGATGGTTATTCTGTCAGCAGGCAAATCAATTCAGAATCAAAGAAAAATGACTTCTTGATCATAATGGTGTTTTCCCCAAGCAGGATAAAGGTGGGGCTTACGGAGAACAAATAGGCAGAGGTAAAGTCCCGGCTCAGCTCTGCCCCAGGCTCCTGGGGTAACCTAACGAGTATCTTCCCTTCTCTGTGCCTTGGATGACCATCTATGGAAAGAGACCAACAGCTGCTTGGCCTCCGTCAGGAAGGCCAAGGGGATGGAGGAGCACAGGTCCAGGGAGGCCCAGGGCCCCTAGCTTACAGGGGTTGGACAAGGACCAGCTGTTCCTGTCCAGCAAACCCCTCCGTAACTCATTCCTTCCACCTGCTGACTGAGCTCCTCTGGGTTTTGCAGCGGATGCCAGAGGCCTCTTGAGCAATCAAAGGAAGACACAGGTCTTGCCCCTCAGGTAAAGTGGAGAGACAGACAGGAACAAATGCAGCCTGCTGACAGGTGAGCAAGGGTAGGCCTATGGAGCTCCTCCTGGGCGTGGGGGCTGTGTGTGTAGACCTACTCACAGGTTTATTCACAAATCTGCCCAGGGAAGGAGCTACCACCAGCAAGAGCCCACTGTCCCTCAAGGTTTATCAAGAAACTAAAGGCTTCGGTTCCAAGCTGTCTCTAAGTCCCACCCTAACCTGTCCCTGCAGCTCCTCCCGAGGCACCCATGGAGAAGTGGCCACCTTCAATGATCCTTGTCCTGCTCTGGCTCAAAAGCCATCATTCTGCAGAATCTGCTCATTTCTCCTTACTCCACTGCCATTTACACGGAAGAACCCCTAAACCTGGCTCTGATCTGAATCCCTCTGGAAACTTCAGAGAAGGTGCAGAAGCCCAGGCTCCAACCCATACAACCAAATCTGAATCCAGGGCAGGACCTCGCATCTGAGCCAGCCAAGCACCAGAAACACTGCTAAAATGGAGCATGGTGGGCTGGAAGTGGGGAGGCCTGGGTCCCAGTCTCTGAACTCTGTGCCACAAAACCACCTGCCGGAAGCCCTCTCACCAGCATAACCCAGGGTGGCAAGTGTGGGGTAGGCTTAGCCCCAAACACCTGCCCGTCTCTGAGCCTCAGTCTCCGCACCTGTGAACGAGGGAGAGACGGGACTTCCAGCGCTAATACCAGCATCAGCTCCCAGGGGAGGCTGCGATCTCCACCATTGCCTTCCTTCTCTGAAAGTGCTCTTCCCAGAGCGGTCGGTAAATGCTCGCTGGAACAACCAAAGAACGACATGACCTTGGTGGCCCGGGAATCCTCCCCGCCAACACCCAAAGCTGTTCACAGAACTGGCTTGGCCGAGGAGGGTCAATACCGAGCCCCACAATGAGAAAGGAAAGCTAATGTCCAGTGCAAGAGGGATGGAAGCCGTATTCCAGAACCAACCCCAGGCCTGGAGTTCGTCAGCCAAGGTGGGGCTCCAACCCCAGGGCAGCCACCTCCAGTCCTTTCCTGCCCCTTACTCTCCGTGTGGTGGAGAGTCAGCAGGGTGTAAGGACAGGGGAGGCTGGAGTCAGAGAGGTGCTGTCTGCGCCTGCGGAGCGGAACGCAGACCTGCTGCGCTCCGTAAACCGTGGCCCTCTCCCTGGGCCTCTCCAAACTGCCTTTTGGGCTTTACCTATTGGGCCCCCATAGCCCGGAGGAGACATGGAAAATCCTTTCAGGGAAGAAGAGTCTTTCTTAGACTCTCCCCTGGCAGTGTTTCTTAGGGGGCAACAAGAGTGGCCAGCTGCACAGGCTTCCAGACAAGCAGCACCCCGCCCAGTGCTGTCTGCGGAGCTTTAACTGCCCACCTACGCCGCCAGCACGTCACAGCCGGACCTCTGCAGTCTCCTGTGACGGAGCCCTCCAGTCCCTGCATTACTTCTCCCAACGCAGCCATGGTCAGGGCTTAAAGGACATCTGATTCCATCACTCCGCTACTTAAAACCTTCCCTGCATTCTTCCTTCTCCACCTTGGCCCATCGCAGAGGGCTCTGTGCCCTGTGTGACATGCTCATTGTCGACCCCCCTCCCTTAATCACTCCTGTGCTTGTCATACATCTGCTTCTGTCCCCAAGGCGCAGGCTTTCCTCCCTCAGGGCCCCTGCCCACCACACTCACCATCTGGCTAACTTCTTTGGATTCATTCCTCATTCATTCCTTCACCCTGCCAGGCACCAGAAACTGCAAAACGAGACCGCCTGCCCCCCCCCCCCCCCAAGCACACATTCTCTGCGCCAGGAGGGGTGGATGATATAAACAACGAGCTCCTGTGGGTGGTGGTGCTAAGTAGGGGAGGGTCAGATGAGGCACAGGAAGGTCTCTCTCAGTGAGGACCTAAAAGCAGCAAGTGAGCAAGTCACTGCTCCTTCCAGAGCAGCCTCTTCCACCCCAGCCTAGGTCAGCCCCTGACACTTCTCACTGCTCCGTTTCCTTTCTTTCCCTTGTGCCCCTCGTGCTTTGTACTTTTACAATATTCATTTCACCATTTTCAACACATTATACAAAATAAGCTCCATGAGGCCACGATCTCTGTCCATTTTGTACCCCT